GAGTGCGCTGCCAGCCGAAGATGATGAGTCTGTCATTGATGGCGTCGTTCCACAGTGACGGGGACTGTGACAGGCCGTACAGACTTTTCTCCAGTTTGTAGACTATCATTTCACCTAACGTGGGGCCCTCTCCTCGTCGCTTGGCGCCGGCCTGACGTAGACGTCTCTGTCGGTGGACGCGTTCAGGAATGCAGCTACCACGTCAAATTGGTACACGNCCCCCGTGCTGCTAGCAGATCTACCATGCTCGTATCCAGACACAAGAACAGATGAGTCTGTCATTGATGGCGTCGTTCAACAGTGACGGGGACTGTGACAGGCCGTACAGACTTTTCTCCAGTTTGTAGACTATCATTTCACCTAACGTGGGGCCCTCTCCTCGTCGCTTGGCGCCGGCCTGACGTAGACGTCTCTGTCGGTGGACGCGTTCAGGAATGCAGCTACCACGTCAAATTGGTACACGTCCCATTCGTGTTCGCAAGCGATGGCGAATAGCATGCGGATGCTACCCAATCAGGTGACTGGAGCGTAGTTCCTTCCGTCGTGTCGGCCTGCCCGTTGGCGGTGTCCCCCGGCGGCTAATCGGGCCTTGAAGCGGCTGTCGGCCTTGATCTTGAACACGAAGCGTGTGTCGAAGATGTCCTCATCCTTCGGTACCAGGCTGATGCGTACTTTCTTAAAGACTTTGTGCTTGGCGAGATTACCCATCTCGGTGTCGATANCGCGACTAAGCGGGCCTTGAAGCGGCTGTCGGCCTTGATCTTGAACACGAAGCGTGTGTCGAAGATGTCCTCATCCTTCGGTACCAGGCTGATGCGTACTTTCTTGTAGACTTTGTGCTTGGCGAGATTGCCCATCTCGGTGTTGATAGATCTCGTCCACGGCTCGCGTTGTGGTGAGTTCATGGCTTCGGTGTACGTGCTCGGAGTTTTGATCTCTTGGTTTGTTTCCCCCAAGAACCCTTGCTCGAGGTGCCTGTGGCGCAAGCATACGCCCGGACTTCGGCGAAGGGGTTTTCATCCAGGTGAGCAAAATCCGCCGCGTCAGTAGGGCATCGTTGCTGCGCTTGGTGGGTGAGATCGAGTAGTTGATCCTCGGTGAGCTCCAGTGGGTCGGGGTGGCTGACAGCCATGGCAGAGCGGCCCCTGTCGTTCATGTTCACTTCCAGAGATTTCGGGATGCATGAAGGGTCGATAGGGTCATCTGTGGGTTGGTGAGTGCGCGTGGCAGGACGGGTCACCGTTAATCGACGCATTGAGATGGGGGCTGGCGAAGCGGAGTCCGTGTCTGTTGGCGTCGTGGGTGATTCGAGTGTCGTGTCCTGCGATGTCCTGGATGGTGTCGTAGTCCGCGAGTTGTCATTGCTGTCATCTCCCCCAGCAGCAAAGTAGGCGTCGGAATCCGTGCCGGCGTTGTTTTGGCGAAGTTCTGCTTGGTTGATGTTGTCTTGCTGCATGTTGCGCATCTCGTGCAGTAGGAGCTCTGATTGTGTTCCGTAGTCCAATTTGTTGTCTTCGTCGCCCGTAGAGGTACCGCGTTCGAGCGATGACGTGAAGTTCATCACGTCCTGTTCATAACGCCCTGTTCATATCCGAGACGGTCGTCCCATCGGTAGGGGGGATGGTGTTGGGTGGAGTCTCGATGAAAGTCACGTTCCGGCTCTCGTACATCTTGTCTTTGCCCTCCACGTAGATCCGGTACGTCTTGCTGTCTGGTCCGTAACCGCAGAGCTTGCCTTCAAAGGCCCGGTCGTCTAGTTTCTTCTTGAATCGCTCGTGATGAACGAACGCGCGGGCGCCGATGGCACGAAGTCGAGAAAGGTCCGGGGTTGTGTTGTACATCTTGGAATACGGCGTGGCTCCCCCTAGCGCCGCGTGTGGGGTCCTGTTGGTCAGGTATGCTGCAGTCATCATGAGCTCCCCCCACATGTGTTTTGGAAAGTCTCCATCGCGCAGTAGAGCTCGAGTCACAGCCGCAAGTGTCTTGCTATCCCTTTCTGACACTCCGATTTCTTGGGGCGTGTTGGTCGCGGCAAATTCCGGCTTGATCGCAGACTCCCTACAGTAGTTGCGCATTTCTTCCCCAGTGTTCTCTCCCCCTTTGTCACAGCGTAGAACCTCGATGCGGTAGCCTTCAGATGCTACCTGCATGTTGTAGGCGTGCAGAGCTTGCGTGGTTTCGGTCCTGTCGCGCAGTAGGTACACTTCCCGCATTCTGGTAAAGACGTCAGTCGCTTTGGCGACGTAGGCGTAGATGCGTCCGTTGTATTCCGCAGGTGGGTCGATTGGTCCCATGTTGTCGAACTGGACGAGTTGGCCTGGTTTAGTCAGGACACGGCTGGTCTTCGTCGGAACGGGAGCCTTCTTGTGCTTCGTGATGTGGCAGTTGACGCACGGGGATACAGGTCCGTCATATTTCACACCTGCACACCTGTAGCGGGGTTGCGCCGCAAAATCTCCATAGCACGTGGATTGATGTGGCCGAGGCGCCTGTGCCAGAGTTCGGCGCTCACGCTCATCGCCACTGAGCATGTCGCGTGCGGAGTGTGATCTATCTGTACCGCTTCTGGTTTTCCGAACTTCGGCTTGCGCCCTGGTTCTTGTTTGTTCGGGGGTGTCTTGCTTGTCGACGCTGGATCGCCCTTGAATGTGATGGCGAGGGTGCACATGCCTTGGTATTGAGTCGCTTGTTTCAAAGGAACGACGACTTCTCCGCCGATGGTGAGGTGTGGGGTCTTGTCTTCCAGGACACATCGGAGGCCCTTCTTGAGAAGGGCCGTTGG